GCAGCGCGAGCCGTGCCGGGGCATACTTGGGATAGTTGTGGGACAGGGGCTGCTGACGACAGAGGCATAGCGCTGCCCGAGCACTGKAGCGTTCTTAAACAAAGCTCCGTGCTGCGATAAAGCTGCAGCTTGCATTTACAGCGAGGATAAGTCCTGGAAACCGGTGGAGTTCGGAGCAGAGGCATCTTGCTCGGTGTGTGCTGGGAGCCAGGGCTCTGGAGCGAGACCTGGTGGGCCCTAAAACGACCTCTGCTTGGTCTGGTTTTATCAAGCAGGCGTCTAAAAGGTGAGCTTTTGGCCCTTAGAAAGTTAGTGGCAGGGCTCCTGCTGCTTCTCTTACAGTTAGGGTTTCYGTAAAGATACAGAAACGGCTGTACGTGCTGCTAAAGGGTTGTGCCTGTGCAGATGTGCAGCCATGCTTGTAGGACTGCCTAACAGTTTAGAAGAGTGAATTTTGTGCTGTGTGTTCCCACCAGAGCCAGCTGGATGAGTGTTCCTCAGCAGAGTTTGCTGTTAGACCAGTATATCCAGAAGAAATCCCTGTGCCCCTCTGAGCAATACTGAGAAGTTCCAGTTGCAAAATCTTGTAGAGAAGGTTAAAATCCCATACGCTTACCAAGATGCTAAGAGCCATGGGGCATTCCTGCTCGGACAGGGTTCTGCAAGTGGCTTCCTGCTTGGGCTTTTTAATGTAAATCCCAARTTATGTTAAGATTACAGGTGCCTCCCTGTGGAGAAATGGATACTTGGTAGTGATGGAGCAGTAATTTAAAGGTCACATAAGGTCTTGGGAGCTCCTCCCAGGAGATGTTACCACAGGGATTCTTCTCAAGCTGCTGCTTTGCARTGAACCAGAGCCAGCAGCTCGGGGCTGCCAGCACTTGGGGCTCTRCGCTGACCCGGGCCAGCCTGGCGGGTGGTTGAGGGGCTGCTCAGTGGTGTGGGTCTTGCCAAAGCTGGACTCCATTCTGCGCCCACAGTTCCTAGAGCCGTGATGGGTCTGCAGGCGGCCTGGGGGCTTCTCGTTGCCCAGTGAGCTAATCCAGCAAGCACGCGTCGCCTTTGCACCTCCGGGTGCCGCGGTTCTTGTTTTTAGTTGGAAGAAGGAAGTTTTTCTTGTTTGCTCGGTGACGGTGCCGCTGCGGTATGTGGTGAGTCATGTTGGCGCTGCGCCGTGCACCTGCAGGTGCCACCCCGCGCTACCTGAGCTGCGGCCGCCGGCCCGGGCCGCCTTTCCATACAGAGCCCGGAAGAGGAGCAGGTACCAACGAGGCAGGGGAGCTTTATGCAGCCTTGASGTGTTGGGTGCCAGGGCCAGTGCTCAGGAGCTTGACCTAGCACGGGGTCTCTCCCTTGCTGCCTTTGCATGGGGCTGGTGGTTAATGGCATTTGCGTGGTTAATGGCATTTGGTGCTGGCTTGTGCTATTCGTGTGATAGGTTTTGGGCACTGCCATTGTGCCAGTGTCTCTGGCTGCTGCAGTCTGATATTGCCCGTGAACTCCATATCCTTCCTTTCTGTGCTGTGTAGTAATCCGTACCCGTGGTACCGTATGCAGTTATTTCTGAAGGTGACTGAATCTGAAAAGCCACCTGCGGCCTCCATTGAACTGGTGAGCATCCTGTCACCTATAGCCAACAAGCACAAGCAGCAGTGAATGCGTGTCTTTTAAGAATAACATGGAATTACTTAGCAAAACTTTCAGGCCACTCGGAAACTTGCTGCCTGAAGAAGCTAGATCTCCCAAGTGCTCAAGTTCGAAGCCCATCACTGTCAGGGATCATTTTGTATCTGAATGCTGCAAAATGAGGTATTAAAACCAAAAGTGTTTAACTGTCATGCAGCCCTGTGGAGGCAGTGAACCTGTTCCCATCCCACCTGATGCGTAAGCTAATTAGCTTCTTGGCTCAGCAGCAGTTTGGGGCAAGTGTGTGCAGGCTGCTCACGCAGGGACTCTTGCATTCCTCTTAGTTTCACAGGCCAAGATGCTTCTCTTCGCTTGTGAGGTGGTTATTGCTCCATGCAGGTTAATTGAGTATAGCGTTATAGTCGCTCATCAAACAGTGGTGAGTAGCTCACTTGTCTAAGCTTGCTTATTTTTTTATTTATTTTTTGTAATGCTGAGAAATATTTGCATGCTCTACAGAAATGTGTTGCTTTGGTTCCTGCAGCGTGGCAGTGTTATCATTTAAAATTCTTCATTAACCTCCATTCTTCACAGGGGACTGGCAAGGTTCCTGGGTCTAAATGAGTGCTGTTTAAGGCAGAAGCCTCTGTCACTGGTTTTCTGCACAGTGCCCTGCAAGCACAGGCCTTTTCTTCCTTAAGCAGCAGCTCTAAATTCTCTTTTATGCCTGTTCCTGATGCAACACATTTGCAATTTCTGCATTAGTTCTACTGTCAGTTCTAGAGTTAGATTTTTGGCTCAAGAACATACAACTATAAACTAATTGTGTATAATTTTATAGCAGAAATTAAGATAAAGTCCATAACTGATAGAGTTCTGAGCGTTGCTTCAGCCTGAGGTTTAACCATGGTGTTTCCTTGAAACAGAAATGCTCTAGAATCAAATTTTCTCCTTAAAGAGGTGTTTCCAGACTCTGCAGTTAGGAGCAATGTCCCAGCCATACGTAGTTTTGCAGAGATTTGAGAACTCTGAAGAAAACTGAGTGTAGCTGACTGTTCAATCCTAAGCTTCGTGACCAGTTTAGGCTGAACTCCCAAAGATGTCTAACGTGTCCACAGAACCTATCCCTATTTTAACAGAAGTGATCRGCTAGGATGATTGTGCCGAAAGCCACAAATCGTGTGTGTTTGGAACCCTCTGACAAAACTTCTGGCTCTGTGGCAACAACTTTTCCAGTGCACCTCACTAATTTCAGTAGAGGAAGCTTTGGCACACTGAAAATTGACATTGCTGGAAGAATCTAGCGCAAATACAATTTGGTGTCCAAATAAATAACACATGGGCTTCGGGACCCACTGTACTTTTCTTTTTTATATTTCATTAGAGAAAAAAGTGCAGCTAACTGCCTCTGCCATAGAGCTTCCAGCTTGCTTGGAAAGCATTTTCCAGGAATCCTGCCACCCAAGTTAGTTGCACAAGATTCTCTTTGTTAATTAAAAATAGTAGGATAGAACTGGGAAAAAAAAATCTCAGTGCTAATAGTTGATATGTAAAGAAAATTGACTCCTTAGCCAGAATATAGTCCTAAGGTATCTCAGTCCACTTTTTGTTCTGGATTTGTAGGCTGACTTCTGGTTTGCACCCCCACTGAGATGAGTAGTAGTGCATGGCAAATGCGTGCGGTGTGACCTGTAGCCTGTCTTCCCTGGCTCCGTGCAAGCAGCTGGCATTGCTGTGCTGTGAAGCGCGTGTGTGAAATGGTTGCACACACAAGTACTTCCTTGAGCATTTGAAGGAGTTAAACATGCACAGATTGACTGTGTCTGCTGAGAAAATCTGTAATGCAGAGAGGCAGAATCTCAAGCTGGGTTGTATCTTTGCATTAAAAAAATAAACACTCCCCACAGCCCCCCCTCTTACATTTTTCCAGTTGAGACAAAAGAAATCTTTGGGTGGAAAGCAGCATCACATTGCATAATAAAAGCCTTTTTATGCTCTAATAAAAAGAGTTCCTTAGGGCAACTTTTTAATTTTTTTTCTTTAAAAAAAAAAAAAAAAAGAAAGCCATGATACTGGTATGAGAGGGACAAGGAAACTTTAACTTTTCTTGTGCAACACCGGGAAGAGAGGCTAGAAATTGCTCTAGTTATCTGCTATCTTAATGCTTGGTTTAAAGGTTCTTTGCTGCATATTTGCTGGCAGCTGTTTTCAATATATCCCTCTTGAGCTAAGTCACCAGTTAAGAATTTGACATTAGATGTTTTTTTTCAACCACCATCTTGAGTACCCTACCACACAGCACAGCCTTGTTCCCTAGCTAGATATTGTTCATGTGCCTTGGAATTGCTGTTGACACCTCGAGTATTTAACTTGCAGATCTCTGATAACTTTCGTAGGGTGTGGATGTGTGCGTAATAAGGCCGAGACAGAAGTATCCACGTCTGCATTCCTTCACTGCATCTGTTTGTGTTATTTTTTTGCAGCATTCCAGGAAATTAAGTTAAATTATACCTCTCAATGAATTCTGCTCATTTCACTAGCTGTATTTTGTTGCAATTGCCTGCTCTTAAAATACAAGTGTGCTGCATGCCCAAGTATGTTCCATTTCTTTTGTGCCATCTGCCTTTCTCTTTAAGACACCTTTGGTACTAGATTTAACTCCTTCTTGGTTAACATGCCTAGATGCATGTTTTTCTGTGCTCTCTGGATACTTCAGTCAATGGTTAAAGTTTTTCTAGTGCTTTCCATCCTAAAAGGGAAAAATAATGTAATTAAAGAATGCTTTGGGAATTAGAGCTGAGCTCTGCAGTATATTTCTGGCATGTATTTTGGCAACGTCCTTCACTTCTGTCACTCTCCCAATCTGTAAAATAAAGTTAATACCCTTATACAGAATATTCTCACAGTTATTTTTGTGACATAATTCATGGATGTTTGTAAAGCCATAGCACCTTTCATCAAAGGATTTCTACTGAAAAAGAAGCCATTATCACAAAGTATCATCATCTGTGCTGCAGCTTTTCTTCTTAGCAAAAAATAAAACAATAGAGTTAAAGAATTAGTGGCTTTTAATCACTRTTTCACTTGGAGGCACAGATGGGACAGAGCATTACTTGGCAATGTTTAATTTCAGAACAGAAATTGTCATGATTAAAACAGCAGCTGGAGTAGATTGTTAGGTACAGAGGTTCCCTTTCATCCTAAAGTGATCGGAGTTGCTGAACCCTGGGAGAAAACAGGGAACTAAAAAAGAAAAATAAGAAATATTGTTCAAGGTGCTTTATTCCTTGTGTCTCATCTGCCCCTTAAAATGTTTTCAACACTTAGGGTTGCTTCGGAGGCAAAGAGAGCGAGTGGTCTGGCCTACTGAAGAGGAGCCTGAAGCCAGCTCWGAGAGGAGATCTTGGATTTGCGGGAGGGAAGCTGCGTGTCCTCCCATGTGTCAGATCTACTTCTCCCTGAGGACATCCAAGTGAAGGAAATAGGTATGTGCCACTTCAAGCAGCATTCAAGAGAATCCCATGCCAGGCCATTTATCAGGGCATGAATTTCTAGATTGGTAAGGCAGCTGGGAAGGAGAAGGATTTTCATTTTTTTCTTTACTAAAACTAMAGAAGAAATCTGTCTGTTTGGCACATTAAGACTTTGTATTATATTGATAGATCCATACAGTTGGCTGTCTCTGCAGAGGAGACCCAGCAGTTACAGAGATGCAGAAGAAATGAGACTCTCCCGACTTGTAGTCTGTCCCTGCTTCTGCCAGGAAACAAGCTATTTGGGACAAGTCACCTTTTGCTACAGGACAACTTTATACAAAAAAAGAGTCTCAGAATAAAATGAATGGCATTGTGTACTTAGCTATTGAGGCAGAGCTGCAGCTCAGCCAACAAGTAGAGCACTCTGGAATGTTGTTCTGGACTGTTCTGCCTGGGCCTTTAGTTATGTTTCTGAAAGATCTTGTGAATTTCTGGCTGTTTCAACTCATGCAAGGCCAGTGGGCTTAACTTTCAGTAAGGACATATTCCTATCTCAACTGGGAGATGGATCGTGCTGTAATCACTGTTGGATTGAATCCATAGGCTGTTGAACCCCTACTTGGGATGTGCTTGACATGAGCTCTTTACGTTTCTTTCACTAGTACACAATGCTTTTTCCTGTCACTCTGAGGTCTTTTTCTGTGCCTGAGATCAGACGATTCTTTTTTTCCTCCTCTTGCTTTTGCATGCGTTCAGATGATGATATTTAGATGTGTGAGGATTTGGTTGCCTTTGTATAGCAGGAAGTCCTCACTTGCACTGGTATGTGGGATTTTCTGTGGCAGGGAGACAAAGTGCTGATCTGACTCTAGGTTTTTAATTACTCTTAAAAATCTACTGGTTAACCAGGTATTCATTACTTTAAATGACCCAAGCTAAGAGATTCCTTTACTTCCTGTGATACATATATTATCTTAATGGGTGTCTGTCTTTTTTAAATTCTTCCTTAAACCTGACAAATTGCCAATTTCACCCTTTTATCCTTGCCTGCCTGCAAACATGGGAAACATTTCATTGTTGGTAGCCATAAGCACAGAGCAAATAGAGCTCAGGCATTTTTACCGTCTTCCGGTGAATTATATGTCTCCTTTCTGCCCGAAARTAGCCTTGCTGCCTAATGCATTCGGCTCCTACTCTTACAACTTGCAGTTGATTAATATTCCTCTAAACTTGCAAGTCACCTTTCATCACCTTTGGAGGCTTTGCCCCCTTAGCATGCATGGCCTTCTCATGTTGAAGGGCCTTAATGACCCCTATTGTTATGGGAACCTTTGGTAATCTAACCTGCATTTTTTTCTTATTTCAAGCCATTGCTCTTAAATGTCTCCTGCTTGATCCACTCAGGCGCTAATAACCATGTCTCCTCTCCTCAGGTCAAGGGCAGCTTTTACATTCCACCCAAAAGGCACCGCAGGTTGAGATGAGGAATTCAGAAGAGCAAGCAGCTACGACAGTTTTACAGCGCCTGCTGCAGGAGCAGCTCCGATACGGAAATCCAAATGACAACCGCAACCTTCTTGCTTTGCATCAACAAGCCACGGGAAATGCCCCCCCTTTCAACAGCACTGGGAGTCCAGCATCTCAGAACGAAGGGCTGAGCTCCCAGGACCACCAGCTAGTGACTCATGCTGCCCGTCAGGAGCCCCAGGGCCAGGAGATACAGGTGGACAACAGCATCATGGAGAAGCAGCTCTCCCCGCGCCTCCAGAACAGCGAAGATCTCCCGACCTACGAGGAAGCCAAAGTACAGTCGCAGTATTTCCGGGGCCAGCCGCACGCCAGCGTTGGGGCAGCATTTTATGTAACRGGGGTCACCAACCAAAAGATGAGGACTGAAGGGCGGCCCACGGTTCAGCGTGTGAGCCCAGGGAAGGTCCACCAGGATGAAGGACTTAAGGACCTCAAGCAAGGGCACGTCCGCTCCTTGAGTGAGAGGCTGATGCAGCTCTCCTTGGCCACCAGTGGTGTCAAGGCCCATGCGCCTGTCACGAGCGCGCCGCTCTCCCCACTTTCCCCGCTTTCTCCCCAGCAGTCAAGTGACCCTTACAAAAATTCTGGTTCCAATGAGTTCTACAAGAACTCGGTGCAGCCCCCTTCCCAGCCCAACCTCAAAGGGATGGAGCAGCGGGGTCCTCCTCCCGAGTATCCTTACAAAAATGTGTCCACCCCATCCATGAACTGCAAACCTCAGGACTCAGGACATTTCTATAGCGATCATCGCATGAGCCAGCAGGGAAGATCTGATGGTCCTATGATGAGGTATCAGCATCCYCCTGAGTATGGGTCAGTCAGGTAAGCAAGCTCTTAAAAAAAAAAAACAAACCAAAACAAAAAACTCCAAAGAAACCCACAGTTTGTGACTTCTAGCTGTGTAAGGAGCAAAAGTACAAAATTCARTCCCTTCCCTCGCTCCTGCAGCAGGTTGCCATTCAGCAGAGTTCCCATCTCCGTTATGGGAGAGGACATACAGTGTTCAGCTACGGGCTGTGTTTGAGAGGACTGTAACCCTCTCTGTTAACTTTCCTGGAAAGGTCTGACACTGGAACACATGTGGGTGTAGATAAGATTTTACTCAGGCTGAAAATACGACTCTGCATCTTACCATCTTATTTCTAAGACCAGATGGGCCTTCAGCATTGATGCTCTAGGCTTGGCTTTGAAGCTAGAGGGGTGATAGCAAATCAGTGATAAGAGGGTGTTGCCGCAAACACGAGAGCGGTGTGAGGGCTCTGCGCATTTGCRTTGGGTTTGGAGGGCAGCGGAAGGGAGAAACAAGGCTGCTCGGGAGCAGAGCTGGAGCTTTGGGGAATTTGAATCTGCTCAGGACCTTCCCAGTCCTGCGGGGAGCTATTTTCAGAGTTTGTCCACCATTGTTTGTGATCTGAAATGACTTCAGCAGCATACAAACCCGATGAAAAGGCCCTTTGATCTGGCTAAATAAATAATAAAGGGGCCAGGAAAAGGGGAAGTGAAGGGCTTTCAGGGGGTGGCCGAATGGTTGTGGAAGCTTGTTGAAAATGCTTTTGAAAATTCCTAGGCCTCGGCACTCTGTGCACACAGGAAAGGGAAACAAACCCTTAACGGCCATCCTGCATCAGAAATGCTCAGGATATATAGCGTATCCGCGCTGTAGCCTGCTGCTGGGCGAGGGAGAGGTATTTGAAAACACGCCAGCAGTTCAGCTCCTCTAGACAGGGCAATTTTTGTCTGTATTGGACAGATCCTGGCTGCTTAGAAAGAAAAGGGGGGGAAGGAGGAGGAGGAGAGAGGTTCAGCTGGCAAGGTTTCCAGAAGGGGAAGCAACTGAAATTTGTCTTCAAAGCCCTGGGARTCTAATGAGGTTACTTTTTAACCTAAATAGCTGCACAGGGAAGAGTTTTTCCTTTGCAAGCAAATGCTGAAGCAGGAGAACAAATGCCCGAGCAATCCATGAATTACTGCATGGCCGCGCCACCCCCCACCCCACTTCCCACACGCTTTGGGAGAAGCTCCTTTCCACAAAAACCTTTGGTGTTCCTCAAGGTGCAGCTGGATCACAACTATTTTAAGGGATTCCTTTATTTTAGGGGATCCGGTTTCCCTTGTGCCGTGCAGTGCTCACAAGTGTCCCTATAGCCCCTGCAGAGCTAAAGGATTCTCAGCAGCTCTAGGTTTCTGTGTTGATCAGGATGAATTTGGGCTGTTTCGAGTGCATTTTGGAGACATATGTGAAGGAAGCAGAGCCCCTTCTCTCCCTTCTGCCGACGGCACACCCTTTGCTGCGGGYTTTTCCCCCTCATTGTTCAGGAGAATTTGAGGGTGACCTACCAGTGCGCTTAGCTCAAACTCGTTGAGCAAGATAAACACTGGGGAATTCRGAGTGTGCACGGCGTGATTCACCCTCCGCGGCTGGGAAAGCAGCGCCCTGCGCCGGGAGCCCACGCCAGGCTGCAAACAGTTGGCCTCACCTGCTCCTGGGCGGCGGAGCTTTGGGAACACGGATGCGTTCCTAAGGATGTCGGTGTAATGTAAATATCGGGCACGCTGGAGGCATCGGTGCTGCTATTTGGAAATTGTGAAGCTCAGAAGTGGGTTGGCAGCATGGGAAGCTCCAGAATCCTAGTGCCTCCCTATATCAAATTCACTTTGATGTCAGTAATAGAAATTGAATGTTTGGGTGAGGAGGAGAAGGTGCCTGGGCTCAGTGTCCTGCACGGTCTCTGTCCCGGCAGGACAGCCAGGCAAGCAGCAGGGAAGCAACCACTTTAGGCAGTGGCTCCACTTGGATCAGTCTCTCCGATCCCAGCGCCATATCCCGGTAAGAGCCCGAAAGGCAGAGCTCTCACTGGAGGATTAATCCCTCTGGCTTCCCAGGAGCTTCGCAAGGAGGAGCCTGCAGAATTTGCCCCGTAATTAGCAAGGCACTTCTGTGCGCCGCATTCCCCCGAGCAGCATCAAAGAGGGGGCTTATCAGGTATGATGAGGAAGTGGAGCAAAAATGCGGCCCTTCGGTTTTGGCAGTCTAATCAAGCACAGCCTGCCCCTGCTGGAGTTAATGTTTCCTGGGCTGTGTGGGAGAGGGGAACTGTAACTGCTCCATCACGATGCAGCTGGGGAAACTGGGAAGCTGGAAACATTTTTAATGAGCCAGAGACCTTGTCTGATCTCTCTATTCTTCATCCGTACCCGCTTTCCTTCTCTCCCAGCACATTCTCTGCTTGGCTTGAAGCTTGCGGTGTGGGGACTCCTGATGGCAGAGGTTGCYTGCAGAGCTGCCTGTAGCTTGGGCTTCGGGACTTCAGAGCTTCTGTGACCCTCTTAGTTGCAGAGCCATAAATCCAAGCGTGGCCTTGGCCACGTGGTGCATTTCTCTGGTACGTGCCAGAGGGTTTCAGGCAAGCACAGGCTCTTGTGTGCTTGTCTTCAACACGAGTTTAAGTGTTYTGTCGGAAAAAAAATGAAAGTGGTGTGCTAAATAAAAAAATATATATTTGAATGTGAGTGCAAAAGTTTGCCTGCACAATCTTATAAGGCTGTTAGTTGTCACTGTGAAGTTTCTAGGTAAAGCAACCTATCTTTTAAAAATATGTTCATTGGATTTTCTTATGTTGGTGAAAATAYAGAGGCTTTTGTGACAATTTGGAGGCTGTTGCAGAGCTGATGCAACAGTGCAACAGAACTACTGACTTCTAGCTCTCACATCATGGCTTGAACCCACAAGGTGGGTATGACTTCAAGATGTAAAAGGGTGTRTATCCGAGTGCCAAAATGGTGCAAATTTAGAAAATGTATCTTGTTTAGAAGTCCTCAGCCATCATTTCCTAGAGTTCTTTTTTACAGTAGGTTAAATAACAACAATAGTTTCAAGGCATGTCAGTACAGACTGTCCCTTTTTGTTTTATCTGCTGCTGTTATTTTAAATTTTAATTTAATTTTTTTGGCCATCCTTGCATTCTTTTTGAGCCGTGTGCAAATTGAAAGATGCTGCCTGTGCTGCTTCTGGGATGGCTGAATAACAGGATACTTTTAGTGAAGTGGCTCCCACTGTTTAACATTGGCATCTGAATAACACCCTGAGATCAGCAGAGTCAATCAGCCTCTCCTCACAATTGCTGCAGGCTCTTTCCAGACTTAAAGAGGGTGTTCTGTGGATTCCAAATTGGAAGGGTGCTTTTGTGCAGCCAGGAGGCAGCCTAGCAAAATACCTGTTTTGATCGAACTGAGATGAATTGTCACAACAAGGTTATTCCATAAATGTTTATTACRTTGAAACAGAGCAGTATGATGTTACGTAAAGAATAAGGTCAAGAAGCCAGGTGATTTCTGAAGCTGTGAAGTTAGCAAATAGCCTGGGTGAGGAAAGAAGGTGGCTGGAAACCATCTGTGATAAACTAGGTGACCTTGAACGTGTCACATGGCTTTTATGCCTCATTCTTCATTATGAGAACTAACAAATAAAAGCAATGAAATAAATGCAACAATAAATAGAGCTGACCTCCCAGGAGAGGAAGAGCTGAGTGGCTGCTACTAAAGTGAACATTCCTGAGGAAATTAGTTGCACATCTCTCGTCTGCATGACCCCTGAGATCCTCATGTGGCATATGGACCTTCCTGAGGAAAAACAGCTCTTGAAGCAGCCCTGCTGACAGGGAGCTCAGTCCCTGGAGTGTGAGGAGGAAATAAACAGCATCTAGAGCAGTAACCCCTTGTTTTTCCCCTATGTGATTGATTTTCCTGCCAGGTGGATGTTTCTGTCCTAGTCTCTAGCAAGGATGCTTGGCAAATGTGCTGCCTTGGCTAGAAAGATGCCCAGTGTTGGAGTAGCAAACCCTATGCCAGGCTCGATGTGCGTGGCCTCCTCTGTGCCCTGCGAGCCAGATGTGATTAATGGGGCCGTTTCCTCTTTGTCCAYGTGTGTCCCACACGGAGCAGGCAGGATGATGCCAAGCGCTCGCACCAAGAAGCCAGCCAGGTAGCCCTTTGGCTCTGAGCTCAGCTCTGTGCTCGCTGCTGTCAGTGCCGCGCGGCTGGCGCTCCTGGCAAGGTGGGAGAGCTGTGCTGGGGGCTCTCCCATGCAGCACGTACCCCTAGTGCCCACGGAGTCCTTGCGGGTGGCCGTGGTGGACACAGTCACTGTTCAGGTGGAGTAGTACGTGCTGCTCCAGCTCTAGGGTTGAGCTGAAGTCAGTGGGGTTGGAGATGTTCCGAGGAGTGTTTCAGAACACACCAAACTGCAGGGCTGGGGTTGCTGCAGCCTCAGCGTGTGCTCAAGAAGGGACTGGCCGTGGCTTGGCAAGGGAGGGACTTTAACTGCTAGTTCAGAGAACATGCCAAGAAGTTAAAGGTTGAGTGTTTTCAGAGGAGGAAGCCAGGCCTGCCTCCTGAGGTCATCCAGGGCAGCAAACCCACACATTATTCCAAGAGTGGATACTTTCTTGGCTAACACAGCAGAAGTTGAGTCTGGGATCTCCAGGGATTGGGAAATGTGAGCTGGTAAAGCTTGAGTTAGTTCTGTAACAGTTATGCGTGATGCAGATTGTCTGATATTCTACAGCAGTTACTGTTAGCAGCAGTGAACACACATACTGCATAAGTGTGAGAGAGCTCCTGAACCCAGAGTCTGCTTCTGCCTCTTCTTTCACTTTCATATCCTCTAACTCTCCTTTTACCACCCTGTGGCTTCTTGGTTGGCATTTTCTGGCAGTGGTGCCAGGCAAAGTAGCAGAGAGCTTGGCCAGTTCCTTTAACTGTGCAGCCTCTGAGCTGCAGGAGAACATTCCTTCTTTCTGCATGAGAGGTTTTTGCATTTCAGGACCGAACAAAAGCTTTGTACTTGTGTAAAAGTCTTTTGTGTGGGATGACCTGTTGGTAGCTACCCTTGGTTCACACACAGTATTTTGCATGACTTTTGGAGCTTCTGCTACCTGTTTTCTAGGCAAAACCCAGATGTGCAGCTGCAGTTACAACAGAGACCACCTCACCACCACAGTCCAACTTCTTCCTTAACGTCCCTGGGATCCTTGACCTTGCTCCAGTCTCCACCACCATCCAGGCTATCCCCTTCCCAGCACCAGCCACCCCTGACTCCGAGCCAGGGGGATCCTGCCATTCTGCCACGGACCCAGCAGCCCTTCTTGTCGAACCAAGTGCATCAGGGAGATTTGTACCGACTATGTCAGCCCTTCCTAGGCCCGCAGCAGCAGCAAGGCGACTCCTATTCTGTGATGTCCAGGGCCCAGCAGATCCCTTCCCCGTATCAGCAGATGCAAGTAGATCCTTTTGCCATAGTTTCCAGGGCTCAGCAGATGGTAGAAATCCTGTCAGAAGAGAACCGGTCTTTACGACAGGAGCTGGATGGATGTTATGAGAAAGTAGCTCGGTTGCAGAAGGTGAGTGATTTGGCATATTGCATGCTCTGCTGTGCATAATGCCCTCCAAAATGGAATTCTCATCTGCATTTACTACATTGCTGGCTTAGGGGATTGATTAGCTGCTTTAGAGCCTCTCGTATCTACAGTGATCAGCCTGTATCCTGTCCCTTTGGGTGGTAACTAAGTTTTATCAGAAGATACCATCATGTAGATGATACCAGCATGTTTTTGTCCAACAGGTGACCATGCTCCTAGCAGCATCCCCATCAGCTGTCCTCAAGAGACTGTCTTCTTGGCTGGCTTGCTTAAAGCTGCTGTTCTTGTTTCAAGGATAGCAGTAGGCCTCATTTTCTCATTAGTCTGAAAAGGGCTTAGAGAATGGTCTCAAACTATAGTCATTCAGGGGGAGAACTGAGRACATTGCTGTAAAACTGATTGGCAAGACAGTATGCAAGAAGAGTRCTGCTGCTGTGGCCATGTTAGAGACATTTGGACTGAACTAATACATATTTTTGGCACTGAAATTACCTTAAAAGCTCTCTCTCAATACTATGTAACTTCCATGGTAACTAAATACGCTGCTTGGATCAAGCTATTTGCCACCTTTGGCTTTATGAAAGGACTAAATGATGACAAGGCCTCTCTGAGATGTTTTAAGAAATTCCAATGGGAGCTGTCACCGACAGCGCTGGGTACAGCCTCGCAGCAATCGCATGTTGATGAGCAGTGATTTATCGTTGTGCCAGGTCAGGGCTCTGCAGCCTCATGAGGCTCTTTGCTCAAAGCCTTCTCCAGGGCCGTAAAAATGTGTGGCTGATGATAAAACATCTGTTCGAGTTCAGCTGGCCAGTGTGACTTCCCATGCTGGTTCATTCCCTAYGTTACCTGTATACAGTGCCATGTTCATTTTGTATTTTTTTTGGAAGGCTCCTGGCCAGGAAGTGTCTTAGTGACATGTTTGACAGCTTCCTGATAATGAAGCAGGACAAAAATGAACTCGTCTCCTTCCCCTGGGCCTTTACTGGAGACAAGGCTGATGGGGTTTTCTCTTGCATGGTCCCACCCTTCCATAGCAGCACAAAACCATGCCGGATGAGAAGTTAGAAGTGAACTTCCTTGTGCCCTGGAGGAGCAGTTACTTGCTCAAGAGCGTATTGAGAAGTTTTCCACTGAAGGTTAGGAGGAAGGAGAAGACATGTTTTATTGCAGCTGTCCCCCCCACACTTAGAAACAACTTAGTAAATTGAATGTTTAAAAGCTACTCATGAAACTGTAGAATCATAAGCCCAGAACATCAGAAGGTTTTATTGTGAACTTTAGACCATAAAACCAGAGAGACTGTTGTGTTCATCAATAACGCAGGATCTGGCAATAGCATTTCAGCATAGTTTTGTCTACTTCTCTTGTTTTAATTTATTTATTCAGCTTTGTATCGTGTTAGCTGCTTATATAATTATTTTTTTGCACAAAGTAACAGTAGTGCCAAACTGTTACATGCAAACTCAGTCTTAAAAATAAGTATATAAATGGAGGGGGTAGATGACATTTGTGCGTTTTGATATGCTGCATCTGTGCTCTGATCACACAGAGCAAACAGCTACTGACTAGAAGGAGAATCTAGATTTTTTTTTTTTTTTCAGACGTTGGCTTTATAACAGAGAGTCTCTTGTTGCTAATCTGGGGCACGACAGTTTTACGTGATGTATAGATATATTTTTATCTCAATAAGGAAAACTTTGGAGCGTCAGAAGGAAGTAGAATTTCTTGCTAGTGATAAAATATTAAGTGCTTGTTTCCACTTCCACTGCAGCTGGAAACAGAAATTCAGCAAGTGTCGGAGGCATACAAAAACTTGGAGAAATCATCCTCTAAGCGGGATGCCCTGGAAAAGGCCATGAGAAACAAGCTGGAAGGAGAAATTCGTCGGCTTCATGATTTCAACAGGGATCTGAGAGGTGAATGAAGTAACCTTTTAATTTTTTTTTATTTTATTTTACTATTGCACTTGCTCGACAGGCCCATGCTTTGCTGTTTGTTGTTTCTGGCACACTTGGAATATTACAGGATACTAGGGAATACTCAGAATGGGATTTGAGGCAGTTGTTGGGAATATGGAAAAGGCAGGTTTAGGAGCGTGCTGTAGTCTCTCATTATCGGCCTGTTTCTCATTGAGAAGAAACATGTGATAAGCCAAATACCGTAAACCAGATGCAAGCCTGGAATTCTATCTTGCCTTATATCCTAGGCACAATTTGTACAATTTGTTCAGTTAATACAAATGGAAAGACGTTTTGCTGATTGCCTAATCCCACACCAGGCATGTTCACTTTATTTCCTGTCCAGTGACCCCTTCGCACTGACATACAAACTGCAGACTCTCTGCTCTTCCTGAAGGTCTTGTTGTTGCTTATCAAAGCAGGCATCTGGCTTTTTGGATACCCCTCTCTTTTCCAGGGCGAGATGTTTTCAGTGTCTGGTTCTTGCTAGGAGGCTGAGCCAGGATTGTGCCTGGGAATAGAGAGTGCTGTTGAATGGTATTTGACCTTAACATGGGTCAAAGTTTAAGAKTTACAATCTGAAAGTCAAAAAAAACACCCTTGTGATTTTAGATATTTTGAGGTATATAATTTTTTTATATATATAAGATTTTTTTTAATAAAARCCTTTTTACTGTTCTAAACATCATCTGCTCTCACTGTCCTTAGTCGATTGCTAGACCATGTTCCCAGAAAGTGTTTTGCATCTAAGAAGTAAGGCCATACAGTGCCCAGTGTTATCAGAAGGACAGTACACAAAGGCCTGCATTAAATAATCTTATTCGTAATAAAATTCATAGCATAAACATTTCATTTATATGCTCGTGGCCTGATCTAAACTTCTGATGCCTGCAGCAAGCAGAACTGTTAAACTGTACTTAGGATTTTGTTTTTCCCTGAAGTCAGATAATTGAACCACAGTAATTTAATCTTCTAAGTCTTATGATTGAGTGGAGGATTATAGGGGAATCTTTTAATTGCATGGTGGGATTTATTTGGGTGGAAAAAGTAAGTTTCTTTTTACAGATGTTTGAAATGATTCTTTATAAAACAGATACAATACAAAAGACCAAACTGAATCTGTTTCTTGTATTGAAGTCTATGAAGTGTCTTAATATACTTGTAAGGATAGAAAAAAATATTATTATGCATTATTATTGTTTAAAGTAAGATCTTTGGAACTCTGCTTGATCCCTTCTGACTCTTTGTGAAAGTCTACTCAAGGACATGATTAGAAACATTTTAAAAGTGCTTCTGCTTTTGATGCTGTAGAATTGGGAGATGTATTCTAGCTTGCATTAGAACCCTCCTGAGGAGATGTAACTTCATTCTTGCAAGGTTTTGATTCTTTGGTGTTCCTTTTGTTGCAAATTTCCAGAACGTATGGAGACAGCCAACAAGCAGCTTGCGGAGAAGGAATTTGAGGGGTCCGAAGACAATAGGAAAACCATCTCTCAACTCTTTGCTCAAAGTGAGTTGCATATTTGTTGTGGGTCAGTAGAAATGCTCTGGTCATCCTGGGAAGGGTAGGTTCAGATCTGTCAGTTTTCCACTCATTGACATTCCAAAACTGGCAATGGAGTAAGGAGGAATTCATCATTCCCTTTCTGACAGTGTTTAAAGTCCATCTGATGGCAATTATTTAGTAGAGATCTCAGAGCCAATAATGTGCAGCTACCTTGCAAAACTGGCATTTACTCTATAATGTGTAGGATAAGTTGTGCATTTTTTTGTCCTATGCAGGTTTGGGTTTAAATCTTGGGTTTTAACTGTTGGGAGTCCTGGGACTTGGTAAGCCTGGGACCCTCAAGGTCTCCCAGCTCTTTTCTCTTTAATTTGCCGCTGTCATATCCAGTTCAGCAAAAATAAAGAGAGTTAATGCTGCTTCCAGTATGCTGGGCTGGGTGAGGGTCATGGATTCTGCCCACAGCATTGGATTTATCACAAGGCAAACCAAAATGACAAATGTGAAATGCTGCTTTTCCTTTGTACTGAAATGTCTGGAGGCTGACAGTAGCGAGCCAACTTTTCTCTCACCCCGTGGTGTACTCCACCCTTCTGACAATGCTCACTTTTCTCCAATTGTTATATAAAAGGTAGTGCAATAAAATTGCAAAATAGAGAAGATTTTCCATGGTGCAACACTCATTGCTTCTTCTCTGACAAACACTGGTATCGCTCCCCAGAGCTGTCTTTAGTCTATTCCTTGTGGCTTAACATCGCAAGCAGATGGGTGTCAGGGTATGAATTAACTCTCCCTCTGATGTGGTGCTAAGTCGGTCAGCTCAGTCCAGCTTTTAGAYGGAGCCGGTGGGCTTTGAGATTCAAAGGTGTGCCCAGTGATGTGGGAAGATGTTTTTGGTGCATATGGTATCTCTGAAGGAAGGCCAGAGCTGTGAGGATCTGCATGTCCCGTGCATTTTGGCTGCACATGGAAACCTCTCCGTGCTGCTCCAGAAGCCTAGCTGCAAGCGCTTGCAGATGAGCCTGCAGACTGCGGGCACTGATTGATGCCTTCTGGCGTTAATGCCACCCCGTCCCACTCCGCCCAACTTCACTKTTGCAGGCTGGCGTTGTCACCGATTCATCTCCTGAGTGGGGAAATGGGTAAAAGAATAGGCTGGTGGTAATATCTGCCTCTCTGTGAGTGCTCTTATGGCATTAGGCAGCTCTGAGCTGGGGTGCAAGTTAGTTCTGCAGGTCCTGGAGCACCCTGTTTGGGCACAGCATGCTTTTGCAACCTCTGTGTGGGCTGCAGAGCTTTTCTAGCAGAGGGGAATCTGCAGCTACTCCTGTTCTTGCTCTGGACTCTCTGCTGGCAGAAGGAAGGGAATAATTGTGGTCCTGTAAATATAGTTATGCAGATGCTTGCACAAACGGGGCTGTGTACTCCATCTGCAGTCTCCCCTAACACCCAGGATCTAGGTCCTGTTTTTCAAGCCTTCCACTCCTTGTCCTCATTCCTTTGTCGTGGGATGTTGGTTTCTGGAATGCAGTTTCTCTGGTGTCATCAGCGCTGGGTGTAGATCACTGCAGGGAGTATTCTGTGGTTATGTAGCCAGCGAGTGTGCTAATGTTATCATGTAGCTGGCTGGCTCCAGCTGAGAATGGCAACACACGCAGAGGACATCGGTGCTCTGTTGTGGCTTTGCTTTACATGCCTGGGTGATAATTTCTCCAGTCCCCAGCTACTTTGACCAGTTTGTTTTTTCTAATGGAGGCAGCCACCTTGTTCCTGAAGCAGCGTAACTGCTCCCACCAGGTCCAGCTCTTTCTGGAGAGCAGCAGAAGAGGAAAAGTTGTTGGGTCTGGAGTGGTTTTAGAGCTTTGGGCATGAACTTGCAGAGCTTGGTGAAAGGCTCTCCTGACCTGCAGCTCTGCCTTKAGCAGGGCAGGTACAGGTACCTCAGTTCTGGCCTTAAAAATGACTCCCATTTCTAAGGGCAGCAGCAGAAGATTGGGAAGGAAGACAACCACCCGGGGAGAGGGTGGAAAAAAGGAGCACTAGTCCTTCAGACACCAAACTGTCATTTTCTCTTCCCAGCCTGCAATATTAAAGTTACTCAGTTTGTTTCCAGTGCTGAAATATCAGAGGTGAAGAGATGCCAAGTTTCACTGTATAATCAGAGCAAATTGCTTCACTGTACTGAGGGAGGCAGCTTCTCCCCCTCCCTGCTAGCACTGTGCAGCACGTTGTCACTTGAAGTACCATGGCTCGTTTTCTGGGCTGCAAATTCTTTTCCTTGAAAGCCATGCACATTTTTTTCCCTTCAGATAGAATTCCATTCTCTCTCTCTCTTTCCTTTTTTAAAGGAGTCTCCAGGAAAAGCTGCCCTATCCACTTGTGGAGTGAAGGACCACTGAAAGAAATATTGCTGTGTAGTGATAGTTCTCTCTCTGTTTTGATAGACAAGGAAACACAGCGGGAAAAGGAGAAACTGGAAATAGAACTGGCTGCCGCCCGCTCCACAAACGAGGACCAGCGAAGACACATCGAGATCCGAGACCAGGCCTTGAACAACGCTCAGGCCAAGGTGGTGAAACTGGAGGAGGAGGTAAGGAGACCGGTGGAGCAAATCTAGGGGAGCTCACGTTCCTGCAAAAGTGACTGTGGGAATGAGTTTGTCTGGTGCAAATTAGGAGGAAATCTGCCTGCCTGAAAGCTGTTTATATCAGCTTAGCTTTGTGTTGGTTAGCTAAACCGCTGAACTGCTCACAGATAAGCCACAAATCTCTCTTTCCTTGGAAGAGCTTTCGTCTAAGCAGCCACATTGCATTTTCTTTTTGTTTCAGCTGATAAAACTGGGCTGAAACTGAAATTCCAGCCCTGGCAGCCTCCTGAAGTTGGCAGCAGTATGGGTCTGGGTGGGCTTTCAGCTAACAGCAAAGGAGCCCGGCCTGTCCCCTTGCCAGGTGTCCAGATCGCAGCAGGTTATCGTGGAGGGCAGCCGTACAGATCATGGTGTGTGCCCTGCCTTCGTTACAAGCTGGGCATGACCTTGGTTGTTTTCTCTGCCCTCCCTTCCTCCCTCTYGAGAGGGAATAACGTGTTTGAGCTGCTCTGGTGGGCAGCTCTCACAGCAGTGCTTTTTGCAGCCTTGTCCTGCCGCTCACACACGGCTCCCGCCTCCTCCTGCGTCACAATGTCCGTCCTCTTTCCTCCTGCCTACTCCTTTCCTCTCCAAAGCTCCATTTCCCGCTGTTGGCCTCTGCTTCCTTTACTCCTACTCTTCCTCTAGAGAGAGCCTCTAAGGAAATCTCACGGCCAAGCGGACTTCCCTCCACTGCAGGCCTCCTCTCCCCTCCCTCGGCTCTGCCGCCCGCCCGCCTGCYGGCTCTCGTCACCTCCCTCGGTCACGCACAGTGCCGACATCCAGCTGCGTCTTCAAGATGTTGCTCCAACCCTTCCCGTGGCTGCTTCTCCCCTGCTTTCCGCTCAGGTTCCCCTATTCCAGCAGAKGAAGGGCCTCAGATAAAGTGAGCGTCCTCCTCTCTGCTCTGCCTTCCTGCTGTCTCCTGGTGCCATTTCTTAATTTTAGTCTTTTCTAAGCTCTGTATTTGCCCCAGAAAACATTCTCCTGAATCCTCCTGGCCATTTCTCCTCCTTTTTGCTCTTGCGGTGTACTCTGGACCACTGGTTTCACAGAAGGCCTCCCTCGGCCTCTCAGGGCCTGGGCTTGGGCCCTGCACTTTCATCTGTGCCATGCTCAGCATGGCCARGCCCTCCCCCATCACGGGGAACCAACTTCTCTGTGAATGCAAATTATAATAATAAAACAATAACAAAAAGAGCAGAGTTAGAAGAATGTTTAAACATTGCAGTCCTGGTGTTTGCTGCGTTCCTTTGATTTCACTTCTGGCACAGCAGCCTTGCACCTCTTAGGTGAGGACAGTTTAGACATCAGAGGATTCTGCTTAAATCTTAAGCAGTTTTCCCATTTGAGCCTGCAACATATGACTCTTTGGCTGTCATTAAGACACTGTAGAGATCTGCTATGAGTTGAAGTTTGGAGACCATCCTCCCATCTCCATGAGGCTTGGCACCTGTTTGCAGTCAGTCTGGGTTTAGGTGCCACGAGCAGGCAGGGCCAGCGCACGCCTGGGCTGGGCRCTGGTGTTTGCTGCCTTCCACAGCGTGAAGCTGGAGGCTTCAGAGACAGGAATAATTGTAAATTTTATTTTAAAAAGACTGACTTATTCCAGAACATGTTGCTGCTGCACAACAGTCACCTAGATAAAATAGATGAATAGGTAAATCTGGGCTAAGTTGCATGACACCTTAAAAACAGGCAGATTTTGAGTGAAGCTTCCTAGCCTGGCTTGCCTGAGGGCTTGTGGTCATTTGCATCCAACCTTTGCTTGAATCCCAGGGTGCTCAGGAAGTGCCACCCTTCCTGTTGTAGATAAATATGGAAGTGTCTCAGGGAGCAGGAATTAACTGCTTTTTCCTAGAGGTGAGGGAGAATAGAGGGGAAAAAAAGACRAGATGAATAGTTGCTTTTCCAGGTTTTCCAAATCTCTTTTTAGTAAAATGCTTGGGTTTATAAAGCATTCATTCACTCATTAGCATTAAATTGTGGGAAGTTATGAAATGCCTGAGCTGTTTCGTAGTTGTTCAGTACTCAGAGCACCACTTAAAAAAGAGGTTGAAATATCATCCTGAGTTAATGGCRTTCAGTGACCAGGATATATGAACAATTTGTCAATTATTTCTTTTATTCCTGCCAGCTTCATTTGAGTTGCTAGTCCCTGGAATTGTCAGGAATTTCCAAGCTCATCCTGCAGAAGAGGGTGGAGTTTCTTACACTGAGATTTGGCAGCCACTCTGGCTCAAAGCCTGGGAGTGGGGGGTGCATATTTCAGTTGTTGCATCCTGTAATGCAAGTTTTCAGCTTTTTTTTCTCCTTCCTTTCTGGCTTCCTATAAGCAGAACTATCCTGCCTTGTATTCATTAGATTCTTCAGTAAAAAGAATATTTCCATTTTGAGTGCTGCAAGTCATTTATCACTATGGTTGAGTTCAGATACTGCTGTGCTATCATAACCTCCAGATTATTTTCAAAGTTCTGAATTGTCAGCTTGGGTAAAAATGCCCATATGTAAAACACATTTGCCCACTTCTGTGGACTATTGTGAGATTTTTATATATGTTGGTTTCTTGCACTCAAGATAAAGGAAAATGAATCACGGACCCTCCTTGCAGAGGAAAGGAATGTTTGTGAGGATATCTAAATATAGTGGGAAGCAKTAAAAACAAAAGTGGATGTTCTCAGTGTGTTTTTCCCAGTCTATTAGGAATGGTGAAATGGCTCTTCAAGTTTTAGGTAAGCTGCCATTAAAATTAGGTAGTGTGGAGTTTATTTCTGCTAAGTGGCAAAATGGGTGAGCAGTCATGGGAATTTAAAATGAACTTAAATATGTCTACAAACAGACCTGCAGAGTGTGTACATGTTGTRTATATAGTAGTTAAACTTTATTACTTCTTTGCTATACGTGAAGCTATGCGGTAATTTAACCCTTATTTTCACCTTTGTATTTTCTTTCTTCCTTTTACTAGTAATGCTTCACAGCAGTACTTAAATCAGCAGCTCGACAAACTTGTTTCTAGTGAAGAGTTAGTCTGTTTTTTAAAAATCAAAATTTCAATTTATTTTCATTTCACATAGTAAATTTGAGATAAGTRGGATACATTTGAAAACGCATGCTGACTTTTATATACATAAATATTTCAGTCAGAACTGATCAGTGCTAACAATATTAACTAAAAATTCTCTTATTTTGCCACAAGAGTCTCAACTTTGCTGTGTTTGAATGGCTGCTGTGGGTAGTAGGTATGTAGTCGGTAGACGGTCATGGATGGCCTGTCTGTGGGAGCAATTTAAAAAATCAAGGGATTGAGAATCTTCAGCAAACAGAGCACAGTGTTAAAGTCCCCTTTTCTCTAAGCCAAAGGAGGATTGCAGGGTTTACAGACAGGAGCACCCTGACCAGTGTGCGAGACTCTGGATACAGGCTGGCTTATTCTGAGCCCATACCAGGCCTCTAATATTGTACCACAGAGTTTGTTTAATGCCAAATATTTTACCTAACCACAGCTGATATATATACACACACACACATATATATGCGCACACACACACACCATATTTGTTTAAGCTTGAAGTTACACTTGTGTATGTGTGTGTGYATGTATATATATTCGTGTAACTTGTACTGCCTTACCCCAAAACTTAACCAATGTCTGAAGGATTAAGGAGACAGTTTTCAAAAATAGTGACTGCCACAAAGATAGAAGTATCCATCTGTTCTTTGCCATCTCATGCACGAGGCTTAAAGAGTAGAAAGAAAAGCTGGACATTCCCACTAATGGACGAGAACTGGGAAGGTAGGAGAAGGGAAGCAGATTGAATGAAATATCCTATCTAAAAATGACTTAAACTTCGCAGTCGCCTGATCTTTCAGCCTTGAGAGCTCAACATAAAGCAGATACCAGAGCTTAGATCCTTGGCTCATTTCACAGCCGACTTGTGGCGAGAACTAGCACGCTGGCTAACACTGGGGGCTCTGTCTGGGGGGAAATGCAGAAACAGTCATTTCCAAATGGTGCCTATTGTGCTTCATGCTCCATATGGGAGATGCTTTCGGAACAGAGCTTGGGCTTGTGGGGAAGAGACCCGGCAGAGARACTGCGTGCTTGAACGCTTCTCTGTTCTCCTTTCCCATGGTGTCTGTGGGCCTATAAAAAGATATTCCTACGTGCAGGGACTCGCAGAGCTTATATGACTCTACTTTTTGGGGCAGCGTTGCTTTTAAAGGGAAYGCTTTCTGGAAGTTTTACTGTTCCTGGATGGGTAGAGGGGAAAGGAGAGAAAATTTCCTCTCTTCCTTGTAACATGCATGTGTTTAATGACCTGTATCTCTGAAATGACGCAGAACTGGCTTTTTATTACCAGGTCTCTCCCTCTCAGATTCTGCCTGTCAGTAATTTTCCAGAGGTGGCTTTGAGAGTTGTAACTTATTTTAATGCAAGCAAATGGAGAGACGACATCCTGGCATTCCCGTGCAGCAAGCACGGCTCCCAGCACGGCCATAGTGTTACCAAATTGCTTCAGCGGGAGCTCTCAACGGGGCCCGTGGTGCCTGATTGGGCCCAAATTCAAACARGCTGTGGGCTCAGAGGCATCCGAGAGGAATATATTCCAAGGACGAGAGGGAGAGGTGCTTTAAACGTGCTTGTTGTCTTTTTCTCTCTCTTTTTAAGCTACATTTCTGCCATAGCAAGCAAATTCCTGTGGGGAAACACATTTTCAGCTGCATCTGAATGCAGGGAGCTCTAGGATAAACCCAGAATATAATGAAAACACCCTCAACGTATTAAACGACTTTGAAGACCTCAGAGATGGTGGGTGGRAGAACAGCAAATGCTGGCGGGTGTTACCAATCTACTGCAAAAGGAGCTGTCCGAGATGAGGAGGGTGACGGCTGCCTCCGCCAGAGCGCTGGGAGAGGGTCTGAATCCCGGCTGGCTTTGTGGGAAGTCCCCTCGTCTTCCCCAGAGAAGCGCTTTGCTGAGCACCCCCTCTGCAAGACCACCCCTTGGTCCCTATTAGCTGTCGCTTTCGGACTGCCGACTGCTCCCTGTAGCACAGAGCCGTGCGGGTTGCCGGCTGCCCGGGCTGCCGGCGTCCTAGGAGGCCTGTTCTGCAGCACTTCTGAGGGAGCAGTTCCTGCTCTCCGTGCAAATCATTGGTTTAATGATTTTGTTCCAGTACCTTCGGAGAGGCTGATTCATTTCCCAGCTCCTGAAGCCCCGCCGTTGGGGARTATCAGTGCGCAGGCGTTTTCAGGCAGTACATCCCTGACTAAGCTGGAAAGGGAGTGCTCTTCAGGCCAGCAGGTCTCTGGTGAGCAATGTCGGCCCCGAATCCCTCTCCCTGCCCTGGAACCTCCCAGCCCATGCTGCATGGCAGGAAACACTTTTGACAAGGAAAGGAGGAGAAGAAATGAAGACAGACAGGCTTAGGAAGCACCATAGGAAGCACTGGGGAGGAGCTCAGTCCTGCTGAAGGGCTTTGCTGTGCTTCCAGTCGTGCCTGGAGCTTCCTGGAGATCTCAGGGTCTTCAAGAGGTGTTATAATAAAGGTGTTGTTATAAATGCTCTGTATTATCAGAGCACCCTTCACGGCAAAATTGTTACAATCCGTTATATGAACATAAGCTTGCTCCTTAGTTAAGTACCATCAAAAGGGAAATTACCATCTTGTCCAATTCGTGTGAGATGCTCTCGGGCAGGGTGTGACRGCATCCTGGGGGTCACGCTCTTACCCTGCAGGGGCAGGAACGGCAGCGCCCCAGGGACGTCTTAGCTCTTTTGACATAAGCTCTTTTGACATAGCTCTTTTCCTTTACATAAGGCATCTCAGGGAAGCTGAATTTTCTATAGGGTGTATATGCAGTTAAAAGYGATTGAGTATCTGTATTCCTCAGAATCTGAAATAATTCGAAGGATTTCTTAAGCCATTTGAAAAAAAAATGCCCAAAAAAAAAAAACACTCCATAAAAAACACATTTTCTAATATTTTATAATTCTTATTGACACAGTAAGATGAAGTGCATTTTATGAAGGGGAAAAAATGAAAAGAGAAAGAAATGTGCCTTTGAAAAGCCACTGAACAAGCCGTGCATGTACTTTAGGTCTAGTGCATGAGCTGGACATGTGCAGGCAGTGCTGGTAAGTTGGGCAAGAGCGCGTGTTGCAAGGTCTCACCTGCAGGTTGGGCCCATGGGAGCGCTTTCAAAGGGAATGTTTCACTGGAATTTCTGTGTCCTAATTCTCCCTTTGGCTGGGCTCTTGGTATTCTTTGAGTGTAGGCCAGAAAGTTAATCCACACATACACGTTCCCAGCTTTATTAATTATGAAACTAGGAAAATGTTGTCATCGGCACCCTTTTGCAAGGAGAGTTTTACCTGTGTGCTAGGATATTTGTTTGTTTTAATACTTTGTAGTAGCTGTTGGGAGAYGTAGGCCCTTCCTTTATTTTATATGCAGAAGGATGGGAGCACTCTGGTTCTCACTAGGGTGTTACTACGCTGGTGCAGCACWTTTCTCTGGTGGTTTCTCAGTTTGTTCCTTGCCCACGTGCAGAAGAAGCTTGTGTGCAAAGCCGAGGGATAGCAGATTCTGCCACTGACTCAGGTTGTCATTTTTGACTGATAACCCAGTTACTGTTAAGCTAACTGTAAGATTGTTATATTAATGTATACTTCATTGGCACCTGAGAGAGCTCAATGCAGTGTTATTAAGCACTATGATCAGAGATGAAAAGGATCTCTTTGATAAAACATTCCTATTGATTTTTCTGCAGAGCAACAATTCAGTTAAGTATTAAAGTCTTCTTGTCTCTCCCAATGTGAATGAGTTTGAAATCTTGAGGAACCAAAGAATAAAAATACCTTTTTAATGTATGTGCCCTGGTTGGAAGGCCTTTGCCTGGATTACTCGCTGCTCACAGTAACTTTTACAATAAAATRCTTGTTTGGGGAAAATCTTCTAGGGCAGCAACAACACGCTGTGAGATTAGATGCCTGCTAACTTTAAAAAGAGAAGAAAAGGCTTCCGCACGTGGGAAGTGATAGAGTTTGGAGATTCCTTCTCTGCAGCTCATACTGCAGTCTCAGGATTGCTTCAAGGAATATGAAAATTTTGAGGGAAAATATGGTAAGAGCTTCTTGGAAGGAGGATGCGAGTGGCTCATTGCATTCAGATCAAAGGTGCAGCAGGTCTAATATCCTGTCTCCACCGGATCTTATACTCTATTCCTAGGGAATACTGCAAGAATAGGACAAACAATTAGCCATGTTTTCTCCAAACACTCTCCCTGCTTCCACAAAGGACTTCCGGAGCTGGACGCAGGGAGYTGCTTTTGTCTCTCATGTCCCTCCTTGCATTTTTCTTCCATGAAGTCATGCTGGAGCTTTTCAAACTTGCCAACTCGCTTGATTTCATTACTTAAGTGACCTTTTTCCCTTTGTTTCAGCTCAAAAAGAAGCAGGTCTACGTCGAGAAGGTGGAGAAGATGCAACAGGCCCTGGTTCAGCTGCAGGCGGCGTGTGAGAAGCGGGAGCAGCTGGAGCATCGGCTGCGCACCCGGCTGGAGAGGGAGCTGGAGTCCCTGCGCATGCAGCAGGTACCCAGGCTCAGGTCTTGGAGCACTGAGCATTGCACTAGGCATGCGAACCAACAGCCATATTTTTTTCATCTTTTAGAAATCAGAAAAAAAAAAACTTTGGTAGCTGTTGTCATGGACTTGCTGGTTTTGATTTTTCTTTTTTTCTYAGTTGATTAAAATATTGCACTTTAACCAGAAAATTTAGATAAACTATAGGAGATCCATAATGTGGCAAGATTCAAGTATCGACGGGAAACTGGATGCTATYTTAGCTTTAAATAATCCAGTTATGCATTATTTTACATTTTTAAAAGTATTACTCGCAGTTTGAGCCTTTCTATAAAATTCTCAATCAGCTGGATTGAAAGGGCCTTTTAAAAGCTTTTGCCTTTGAAAAGCAATTCCATAAATGCAGCTCTTGCAAAGTGATAAAAGCTTCACGTAGAGTATGTGTTTCCAATTGCAGCTTGTGTAATTTGTGTGGAAGGAATGGGAAGTCAGCTGAGCAGTAGCGTTAAGAACTCGATGTGCAGTTTCAGGTTTATTTTAGCACGTGTTAAACATTAGGTGAACTGACAAGTTGGTAAGTTTGGCTGGAAATGGGAAGTGGGCTTGTGTTCCAAATCACATTTGCTTCCAGATGAATTTTAATTGTCAACTGCCACATCCACATAGGAATGGATGCTTAAATCTTAATCACATTTTTGCATTGGTATTAGTAGAGGTTATGGTGTGCAAATGAGTATGAGTTAAAACTTGACAGTACATCTGTACCCATAAAGTATAAGGGGTGCAAAGATTAATTACATCATACCTGTACCTTGTATTTAACAGATAACTTTCTTGGGAGCTGTTTCACATTCCATTTAGAAACCCAGATGAATAAAGAATGAGGTATTATAAATACACAGTGTATTATATCTTAGATTTCCTTTGTTTTCACTTGTATTGGTGTGTTGTTAAAYTGATGTTCTTGCTAATATCACAATAGATGTAAGTTTGCTTAAATGAAGAGGAAACAAGCTAGTGTACTTTTATTGAAAGTGTTTAAAAGAGAAAGATTTTATACTGTCCTTTTTTTGTTAAAAAAAAGTTTAATAATTCTTCCTGTTTGACACAGATGTGCGTAATGAATGTACTTTGATAAACTTGTTTCTTCTATGTTAGCTTTAGATTAGATACTGCAGACCCCACTGACTTTTTTGACTTTGAGCCAAAACAGGAATAAAAGCCCTTATGTGTCCATCTTTCTCATCCTGCCAGTTACAGAGAAGACTCCCATAAAAGCTGTGGTTTTTATCCTCTGAAGTTTTAGCACAGCAAATCTCAATTCTTTCATGTTCAGGAAAGAAGGAACAGTGTCTGTATTCCTTGCTTTATAACTGAATTATTTTTAATCCTCATTCTCCTAATCCATAAGTACATGCAGATCATATTATTTCAATAGTCAGATCATTTAAAAATATTTTAGGTATATTCTTTTGAAGGTAGGATAGTTCCTGTAAATTATCTGTAGTTTTTCTGTTTCTATTATGCTTTCATCCCTGGCCAGTATTATAAAACACTTCTCATTTAAACAATCTTTCATTACAAAGAAAATAGAAATCTGTGTCCTATGAGATTTGGAGCAGAAACTTTAACAAAATCATTTATTTAATGTGATTATTGCAGTAGGGCTCTTCTCCCATTGCTTAGATCACCTGGTCCATGTGTGAGTACCTGAATTAACATTAAGATGAGTTATGTTTCCGTATCCCAGTTCAGCTCTTGCACATCCTGGGGTGAGTCCCTTTAAACGAGTGTACTGGTTAGTTTTAGTTTTTGCTTGAGGCAATGTTAGAAGTAGGTCTGTTAGTTTACACAGTGCAGGTGGGCTGAAGACATTAGACTTGAGTAACATGGTGCAGTTCTGCAGCACATTCTTGTGGCTTTGCATGTAGGAAAGGGTCTTAATGAGTGTTTTCCTTGGGAGATGTTTGCCTGTTGGTGTTGACCACCTCTGAGGAAGTACTAGGAAGCACTCCTGCCTAGGTGCTGCAGATGGTGCTGTCTGCCTTGGCAGTGCAGTGTTTGGGACTTGACTTTTGAGCTTGGGCATTTGTAAATTAAGAAGTACCCTTCTTGCCTTATATGAGCTTGTTTGCAAATTTTGACAGAGATAGGCTGAACTTTCAGCTTAAGCTCCAAAAGATACGTGAGCATCCCCTCATGTGCCCAGCGTGGCACCAGCTCATTGCTCTCTCAGGGGTCCTTGCACCAAGCAGGTACTGCTCTGCACCAGCCGCTGTCTCACACACTAAAAGAAACCAACCAGCCTCACGTCTTAGAGGCGCCTCCTGAGACAACTTTTCCTTTTCTTTTTGGAAACCAGCGCCAGGGAACGTCTCAGACGGCCAACGTCTCGGAGTACAACGCCACGGCGCTCATGGAGCTCTTGCGCGAGAAGGAGGAGCGGATTCTCGCTCTGGAAGCGGACATGACCAAGTGGGAGCAGAAGTACCTGGAGGAGAGCGTGATGAGACAGTTTGCTCTGGATGCAGCTGCAACTGTGGCTGCTCARAGGTAAATAAGACTATTCATCACACAAGGCTTATTTTCTTTCTCCATTTGATAGTCCTATTTCCCACCAAGGAATGTTGTCATATCACCCTCCCCTGATACCTCTCCTTGCAGTCCAAAAGACATCTAAAACTTCTGCATGTAAGTGGAGCTTGGCTGCTTTTCCTGGGAGCTGTGTAATTGCCAAAAATTAGAAACTTTTTTCCAGGGGTAGATTCCTCCCCTGCCATGCAAGAGCCATTTGCCAGGCTAGAATTATGCTGAGCCAATCCTAGAAGCTATTGATTCCAAAATAGATGTATGAGGAGGGTTTTTTTGTTTTGTTTTGTTTTTAAACAGGAATCGGTCCTCGCTGAAGTCATGTGAGATGGGGTAAGCTTGGTGATTCACATCGTTCACCCTGAATGGCTTACTTGTTCTCCAGAATATTTTTGCAAATTACTTGGTGGTATTATCTGCAACATGGTTACTAACCCAAGACCTCTACTAGGAAATTCTGCTCAAAATGCTCTGCTCTGTGGGGAGGGCCTTGCTTGTGGGGGCGGGAAGGGAYGGGTGCCTGAAACTTGGTAACAAGCTCACATTCCTACACAGCTGTCCAGAAACAGTATGACTCCAAATAGGCCCAAGTGTTTCAGCTGGTTAGCAAACAAGAACTGCTGTTGAAGTGCAGTTCTTTAACATTACAAATAGTTTTATTACTCATTAGTTTCTGAGTCTTAGCAGCAGCTTTTATTTTAGCTTGTTTCATGATCCAGCTTCAAATAGGGAGGTTATCGCAGCCRGGTTCCTGGCTCATAACATCATCCTAGAATTCCAGGGGGAAAGTTGCAAATCTGGTAGGTTAGCATTTAAAGAGTTATCTTATCTTGCACCAGAGGCAAGCTGTTATTTTAGGGTATTAATGCTTCTTGTGCACTGTTTTCCGCTTCTCCAGAGATTTCCTAAAGGCCCTGCTACTACTTGKCCCCAGAGGCCATGTTATATTTTCAACATGCCCTGATAAGCAGGGGCCTGGTCTATCCTTCATCACAGAATGAGAGGGGATGTGTTGGGCCTGTGCACATTGTGTTAAATGCACAAGAATGCTTTCCAGTCAAGAAGAGGCCAACCTGTGAGACCTAGTTCTTCGTTTCCTCCTGACTTCTCCCCAGAAGGGACCACAGTTTGCCTGTGGAAGTTTACATGCAGTTGGGCCATAGGGGAACCCTCCTACAAACAAGCAAGCAGACAAAAAACTCCAAGACATCCCACGAATTTCAGTCACAGCCTCTTCTACATTGTGCGCAGATTTGCTTTCCCTTTGCCTTTATAGTGGAAAAGAGGTTGCAGGAAGGATGCTTTAGAGCAGAGGCAGGAATCTGGGTCACTTAAGTTCCTTTGTGCCCTGTAGTGCTCAGTGCTTTGCTGTTCCTGCTTTGTTTGTTTGTTTTGCTTTGTTTCTGTGGTGTTCTTTTGTTTGGTTTTTTGTTTTATTTTTGTGTGTGTTTTTGGTGTTTATTTTATTATTTTCGCTTGTTTTTGTTTGTTTTAGGGTTAAAGGTACATTCACTAGCTCATTCCTAGTCCTGATGGATATGAGAGAACAAATTGTCCATTCTAATGCGTCAAGCGAGTGTCATAGTCATTTTATTCCAATTGAACAGCAGCAAGTAGGATGAATGAWACACTATAGTTTTGTTAGTAAACTGAACTATTTAGTGCTGTGTAGCATCAATCTAAAACCATTTTTTAAAATCTGGTTTTAGCCTACTACAAGTTATTTGGACCGAGCTATTTAAATTTGTTTAAGAAATGTTGATGCCTGTTAGAACTTGAACCCCCCCATGTGACATTGGTGGATGGGGAAATGACAACTTTACATCTGAAGCTAAATTTGCAGTGTCTCTGTATATGCCATATTGAGGTTAGACCCATTGGTTTGCATCTTGCACAAATACCTGAGGGGAGAATGTAAAAAGGATGGGGCCAAACTCTTCTCAGTGGTGGCCAGTGACCGAGCAAGGGGTAATGGGTACAAGCGGAAACACAGGAAGTTCCATTTGCATGTGAGGAAGAACTTTTCTGTGAGGGTGGCAGAGTCCTGGAAGAGGCTGCCCAGGGAGGTTGCGGAGTCTCCTTCTCTGGAGATCTTCAAATCCGCCTGAATGCCACCCTGTGCCCCGTGCTCCAGCTGTCCCTGCTGGAGCAGTGGGGCTAGACTAGATGATCTCTAGAGATCCCTTCCAATCTCAACCGTTCTGTGATTCTGTGTGTGATTCAATCATAGAAAATGACTGATATTCTATACCATTTTCCACCCTTCTCATGTCCTTGGATTTGCCCTGTCAAACASTTTACAGTAGTTCAATTAAGCAGTTAGAAAGATCGTAGATTGGCATGGTGTTAGAAAGTAGATTGCTGTTTTAATGACTTGCATATTTTTGTAACCCTCCTTTCATTAGGACTGGGAATTGGAGTTTTGGAAGACATTGAACCAGCCTATACTCAAAAAAAAAAAAAAAAAAAAGCCTTGTTGCTTTTGAGCACACATTTTGTGCTGCTGGAGGAAAGCAGCAAAGCTAGGTGTTCCTTCATCTGCTCTACTGCTTGTTCTCAGGGACACGACAGTGATCAACCACTCGCCTAACCCTAGCTATGACACCTCGCTGGAAGCTCGCATTCAGAAGGAGGAGGAAGAGATCCTGCTGGCCAACAGGAGATGTCTTGACATGGAGGGCAGGTAATGTTCAGCYTGCTTCTATTTGGATTATTTACGATAAGATTTTAAGTGAACTGTCTGGGCTAGGTGACTCAGAAACAGAAATTCTTGTGTCTTCACCAACAGYAACACTGTGGGGTGCCAGACATTTATTTGACCAAAGAAGCAGCTGCGTGGCAATCCAAATCCAGTCTTGATACTGAAAGCTAATGCTTAAAAAGTCTTAGATTTTGCATCTTGTTTGTTGTCTTCCTTTCTTCAGGGCATCTTCCTCAGACACTATTTTCAAGCCACCTCTTAAGAAGTCCCATTCAGCTGTTTTCCCTGGGGTTTGGCACAGTGCAGATTCCAAAAGTGTTAATCCTCTTATTCCTATTGGTTTCATTTCCTGGCCATAACTCTCAGCTGTCTCAAAGCTTCTCTAGTGTTGTTCAAACCAACTTTCAGTAGCCAAAGGTGGGAGGGTAGCTCAGTGGAGGGCCCTCAAGCACACGGAAAAAAAGGTGTGTTGTGTGATCTGCCATGGGGACCAGAGAGCAGCCAGGATTTAGGGTGTTGAGCTCACTGGCATCTTCTCTCCCTCTCCCCAAATGCCTAAGGGAGTTCTGGCCATGGCATGGGGACACTGACTCCTCAGTCTAAGGAGATGCCAACTCAGGTACCTTATTCCTCTTTGTCATTTGTGAAAAGGATCAAGACTCTGCACGCGCAGATCATCGAGAAGGACGCCATGATCAAAGTCCTGCAGCAGCGCTCCCGCAAGGAGCCGGGTAAGACAGACCAGCTCTCCTCGATGAGACCCGCCAAGTCGCTCATGTCCATCTCGAACGCTGGCTCGGGCTTACTGTCCCACTCATCAACGCTGAGCAGCACTCCCATCCTGGAGGAGAAGAGGGAGGACAAGAGCTGGAAAGGCAGCCTTGGTGAGTTTTAACCAACAGTGGCAGTTCAGATATGGAAGTCACTGTTTTAGAGGGGAGACAGCAGCAGGAGCAGCAGGAAGAAGGTGCATTTGACAGACAGACTGAATGATAGAGCTAGCATGTGGTAAAGCTGACTGCAAGCAAGATGACACATGTTTGGAACAACAGCTTGTTTTAATCATTTTGGGGGAAGCAGTGACTTCTGATGGCCAGGCTCTGTCACTAAAATATTTAAGCTTTAATTCCCATTTGATTTGAGTACCTGATTTGARAGACATTTGGGATCTGTTTTTCAGAATTCCAAAGCACTTGCTTTCAGCTCAGTTGTTACAGCTGTCTGAAAGTGTAAAATCTCCTTGAATAAGTAGCCAGCAGGGAGATGAATCAGGATTGCTAACCTATAATGCTGTACCTGCAGTAATATGACTCCTGTCTGGAATGGCTCAACACCCTTGTTTGGAGAAAGCAGTTTGTAGGAAAGCAAATTTTAGGTGGTTTTTGTTTTGTTTTTCCTGGAGAAGAGCTAGGTCCAAAGCTTTCCCCATGAGAATAGAAGACCATGAAGTGAAAATCTGCAGCTGATTTCAGGGTGTGCAGCTTTACCCTGCCRTAGCTGGGCCACTGCTTAGAGATAGGGAAGTACCCTGTTAGTGCCCACGTGTGTATCTTTGCAGAAACAAGAGAGTACTGCTGTTCTKCAGCTACCTCAGTCTTTAGTGGTGAAAGGTGTGATAGAAAGGCAAATTAGTGTGGTCTGCTGAAGTACAAAGTGATTTCCAGATCCTAGAGCAAGTACTATGAAAAGTGGCAGAATGAATGCTGTTTAGTTTACTGGGGCTGTGAAGTTTCCTTCTCTTTTTCCGCCAAGGTGTTCTGCTGGGAACAGAATATCGCTCCGAATCCATTCCCTCCACCCCCTCGCCAGTCCTTCCTTCCACCCCCTTGTTGTCAGCACACTCGAAAACAGGCAGCAGAGACTGCAGCACGCAGACTGACCGGGGCAGTGAACAGAGCAAAGCTACATCTTCAGCGGCAGCTCCCACCCCAGCACGGCTCCCCGGGAGCAGCCTGACCTACAATGCAGACAAAACAGGTAACAAAACTCAGCTGTAACAAAAAGGGGCCCCTGCCACTCACACTCCATCGGTTCTCCTCCATGGCACTGGCCCTGCATGTCTCTTTTCAGCTCTGGAAAACAGGGTTTAGTTTTAGGGAGGACATATGGTTCTCAAGGACAAGTTTGACCTCATTCTGAGGTCTTTCTGAGAGGTATCCAATAACGCAGCGAGAAGGAAGTCCTAAGTGGTAGTTACACTGGGCACACGCTGGGTGGAGAGCTGTAGCAACRTTTGAGATTCCCTCAGCAGTCAGAGCAGGTACAGGCTAATCTCAGAGTAATCTGTGAGTTGGTATCTGCTCTGAAATAAATTGAGTGGCACATTCACAGTTAAACAACGTGTAAATGCAGGCTGTTGAGCTGCCCATGCCATTTTAGTGAGTATTCAGAGAAGTATCCTCAGATGAGGAGGAAGGAGAGGGGAGGGTAGCTATCATGATAGAGTTATCTAGTTGCTGCACTATCCAATTGCAGGACTGACCTCAGCATTAGCTTAAGTAGGTCCATTTGACAGTGACTGTCACAGAAGCTCAATTTGCTCCCCACAGAGCCCCAAGCTGGCAAGAGAGGCTCCTTTTCCAGCCGACTTTGCCAAATCAATGCAGATTGCCCAACCTCACCTCTTCTACTTACAGACGTGTTACAATTATGTTGTTCTTTATGGAAGAGTGAATTTTGGCTGCTCTCCTGTGCATCTTGCCTGTGCTGGGCTATTTAATGAGTATCAAGGGCGACAGATGAAAAGGTTTTGTGGTTGAAGTCTGCATTGACTGCKTTGCTTTAAATGTAGTTGGTCCAGTTTTATGTGCTATTGTATGTCAGTGGGAGGTACCTGGAGGGAATTTGAGAAAGTATCTCTATTTGTCAGGTTATAAACATGAAGAAATGCATTTTTTAATCTAAACAGTCAGTCTTTTGACCAATGACAGATGAYTCTGAAAACATTAACCCCATCTTTCTAATCCTGTGCTCAAGGTGGTTATCAGTTCAAGCTACAGCTTTAATTGTCTGTCTTTTGTTTCTCCTCATAACATAGATGGGCCGCTCTTCCACTCCAGCACTCTCGAAAGAAAAGCCCCTGTTCAGAGCGTGGGGCAGGACCTCCCAGATGGAGAGATGGTAGAATACCTCATCTGAAAGGCTGAACTGGGATCTGAGCTGGGATACAATAGCAAGAATTTTTTTTTAAAAGACATTTTTATTGGGAAAATTTGTAGTGAGTAATAAAAGAACACTCAGTTGTTTGCTCTTGTATATTATGTCTCAAAAGTATGGACAGGTTAATTTATAATTTGTTCTAAATTATCAAACCCCTTAACACTTGTTCTTTGAAAGTTTCCCTGCTTATTTTTAAAATATTGGATCTGGTAATGTCTGGAGAAAAAAAAAAAAAAAAAAGATGGTCTTAGGTGCACTACATTTTATATATCATTTCAGTATTTTTTAAAGTCTTGTCTTTTAAAAACAAGCAAAAGTATCTGCTCTGAGTAGCTGGTTAATTGTCTAGCTTGAAGCTGGTAATGGCCTTACAGTGATCAGACCTGAATGTGGGCCCTGGTTGTGAGCATCACTTATGGCTTCAGAGTACAGGTATTCTGAGGAGCTTTTATAACCTTCTGAGCTACATCAAGGAGGACTTGTCTTAACCCACAATGTGAGAAGTCAAAATAGGTATTTCATATTCACAGGCTGGAAAGACTTCTATTTTCAGAGTGCTGACTTTTTTTTAGTTCAGAAATTGTGATATTTCGTCACAGAAAATACAACTCCAGTGATTGATGTCGTGTTTGACATTTTTAGTTGCATCAGAAGATTTGTCATACTTCCATGCACAAATACTTTTTCAATAATTTATAGAGTTGTTAATAAATTTCATTCATGCCTTGCATAAAAAGAGCAGTGTACAGGCTCAGTCCTGATCTCTGTTAGATCCAGTTTTCTGCCAGTGTAATCCCACTGGCTTAGTGGAATCACTCCAAATTTACAGTAGTCTAAGTGGCAAGCCCCCTTGCTTTTCATGTTAGTGAATTGTTCTGCCACCTCTGTGGTTTAGCAGATCTTCCTCTATTTCAAATCTCCTTCTACCTTGTATGTGCCTCATTCKTGGAGATAGTAGATTCTTTTTTTCGTTTTCTTGTCCCTCAGAGCTAGAACTTTTAACGGCAGCTTTGGATAAAGTTTCATGTGGCAAGTTGTGGCCTTCCAGAATATTATTCATCATCTGGCTGGAGAGAGCAACCAGAATCATTAAAGAAGATACTTTCACATTTTAGTGATCCCTTTCTCTTTCAGATTCTTGGGGATTAGCACAAATGCTGCAATACTCTGGATGCAAATGTTCTAAGGAGGTATTACAACCAATGCAAGTAAAACTTTGAGGGCTTTTTCGTAGTGAATTTGCATTACTAAAACATTCCAAAATTGATTTCTACTAAAAAATACTGTTTTTTAACTTGAATGTTAAAATGCTTAATTGGCCAGTGGTCACATCTCAGGAACCTGGCTAGTCTCAACTTTCTTTGCATCATTAGAGTAGGCAGATTTTGGACCCAGAAATTTCGTTCCAGAAATAAGGAAAACAAGCAATTAATCATCCAACAGCTACTGAATGTACTCAGTTCTTACTGAGTTGACACCATTGACACGGTGTCCATTTGAAATGGCCTTACCAGATCAACAGATACAACAGGAATCTTCCTGTGAAGGGTTGGGAGGTGAAAGGAGAAAAGTGCCTTTTCCTTTTCTGTCCGCCGCTCAGGTGCCTTAACAGTGCCCTACAGAGCAGCTGTGGCTTGGAGTCCGTTTGTCTTTGGAGGTAACTCCTCTCAAAAGCAAAACAAACAATTCCCATCAATTCCAGCAGATTTGAGCCTTTTTGCTCTTCAGCCCATATTCCTAGACGCACGGGAGGCAGAGATGGCAAAATGTGTAAGTAACCTCTTTACTGAGGACCTCTCTAACAGACAGAGCAGAGCTCCATCCCTCACCGCTGCCTAAGGCACTTCAGAGCGTCACTTTAAGGCTTAGACTGTCTCTGTCATAGGGGCCACCATCTTCCTGAGCAGTGTGGTTGACCTTCCCTGAGTATATTCTAGTAATTTGTCTGAACTAGTTCCTCATTCTTTTCTGGACAAACTGATAACAGGCATTTTGTTCTCATCCCTGAGAACAACTTACGTTTATTTCTGTTGGCTTAATTCCGTCCCATTATGTGTAGTAATGCCCACTCTGGACAATTTGAAGTGATTTCTTTTCCTCCTCCACAGTTGTCGGAAATGCAGGAAAATCTTTTCCCATTAGGTCACTGTGTCCATCTCCACTGCCATTTCAGGATCATTTTCTCTATTGCTTTGGGCTTCAGATGAATAGAAAGGGAGATTGAGTGCCTGTGGGATATATGTGTTTATGTGCCTGCCTGCCATGGAGAGCAAGGTGTTTGAGTGTTTTTCTGGTCTTTTACAGCTGGAAAAGCTCTGCTCCATCTTTGCAATTGCTTTTCAGCAGTAAGAAAGGAGTTTTACATCCGTAGAGCTCCAGACAACCTGCTCCGACTCGGTTGATCCGTGTTAATCCTAAAACAAGTAGGAAAAACCTGGACTGTTTACTGAGAATCTATTTCGGAAAACTGATTTCCGCAGCAGGTATTGACTGTTCAACTGGACTAGCTTAAAAATGCATCTATTCTTCTTGCAGCTCATTGGTCCCAAACTGAATTCCACCATAATCTACTTTTACAAAGGAAGAAGTATATAATGGCTTTCTGTGAAGAAAATACAGCAATTACCTCCTCCAGCAATGGGAGCCGGGAGGTCTCTGGTAGTACAAGCTGTGGGGGATCACACAGCGACCTTAGCAGTTCCTAGACCAGTGCAAGTAAAATTGAAARGAGATATCAGTTTTACACTGCTCTGCTCAGGTTCTGTGTCCTACTTTTTAGTTTTGGTTTCTTCCAAAGTTAAGTTCCCCTCCCCAGATCTCTTGCCATGAAGTCTGAACTCATCTTCCTCTGCAGACAAACTGGGAGCCTGCACGAAACGTAGTCATTCCTTGGATCTTCCTCAAAGCCATCCTGATGTGAATGTAAAAGAGCTGCTTGCTTTGAGGAAGGTATGTACCRTAGTCTTTGGTCTTTCTGTACAGGTTTTTATGTCGTTTTTAAGCAGAAACTGTTATAAGGAGATGAACTGCACACCTAGTTCCTTTTTCTTCTGTAGAGCTTGTTTCTAGTAGAAAGTAATCTTTAACAAAACATGATTGCAATGACCTTCTTCGCAAACCAAAACTTTAGACCAAGAGTTTTTCTTAAACTCGGGTATTAGGAGCAGAATTGTAGCTTTTATAAAGAAAGCCGCATATTCTTCTTGGTAGAACAAAACAAAAAGAATGGAGTTTAGTTATTTTTCTTCTCTCACTGCTTCCAGAATGGCCAAATTCGTGAGTCCTCCCCTTGGTTGGCCTCCTGGCCCTGTGTAGGCTTGGGAAGCAGCCTAGGAGCTGGAGCCTTTTGTTCCCAAATTATTAACAACGCTAAAGAGCTCCTGCCTGGCCCCTGCTTTGGGCTCCGGAGCAGTAGTTTTGGACTATGGCTTGAGGACCCRTGGGCATCCATGGGTCATTCTGTGCAGGGGAGCTAAGGTGAGCAAATGCTTTCGGGGAGTTGTCCGTGGCGTGTRCCTGCTGGGCCACTTGGCAGAGATCAGCGATGTGGAGGTGCTGCAAATGGCACAAGTTTTGCATCCTCTTTGAGGCTGCCCATGCGAGGGGACCTGCAGGGCGCGAGGCCAGAGCGCTGGCGCGGGAGCCCGCGTGCGACTCCGCGCTGATCCCGGGAATCTGTGCAGTGAATCCTCACAACCACAACCAGGCACCCGTGTTTCCCTGGTCGAGACGTGGTGGCACCAGAAACTCGGCACGGTGTGTGGAGCAATCCCGGGGGAGACCCTGGGCCACAGGAGCCTGGTGGAGGTTGGCCTGGATTCACTGTGCTGCTCCCTGYGGGGCCAGGGCTCGGGGGGGATCCTCTTTTCATGTATTTGTATAGGAACCTTTTTTTAAAAAGCTAGCATTTTTATGTCTAGAAAAGTAAAAGAAAAAAAAAACATTGTAAAATGTAATTGTACTGTATTTATGAAGAAAATACATTTCTTTTCAAAAAGATGCCATTCTAAATTGGTTTTAGATTCTGGGTTCAGACAGTCGCCTCTCCCAGGCTTTTGGGAGCACGAGAACCACGTCTGGCTTGCGCTGCCCTGTCTGAGCATGGTGCTGGGCTGTGCAAAACCATGGAGACCTATGGAGAACAGCCCCGTGGCTCAAGCAGGATGCAGGACTGTGGTCCTGAGGTGCCTGAGGAGCCRCTCCTGCGCAAGCTTGCTGGGATGGGACACGGCACGTGGCGCATGGAGGTGGCACAAGAAAAGCTGGGGGCCATTCCCAGCTCTTCATCATCCCAGCTCGGCCTCCTCTAGCCTCTTCGAAGAGGCTGCTGGGAGCTGGATCTTGGCTTGAGGAGCGGGATTAGTCTCTGGAAGAGGGTGGATGGGGGCTCCGGGCCAGCAAGTTCTGCCCTTCACAGGGTCACAACTTACGGGGAGCCAGGGGAGCCCTTTTCCTTCCCCTTTTGGAGTTGTGCTCCAAGGGCAAAAGCCAAGGGGAAAAAAGGGACAATAAGCTGCTTATTTGCAGTATCCCAAACATCAAAGCTTGATTTCAAGTATTAAAAATTYACCATTTATTTAACAATCTTAGAAAACATAACGAGAGAAAGAGCTTTTCTATACAAATCTAGGCTGAAAGGAAYTGCATAGATTATTTTTTCCTTTTTATTAAAGCTGTCAAGTTAATTTTGTAGTTTGAGAAGGAGCTGTTTTATAATTCCACTAGGGAAACAGCCCTGAACACTTTGAAGATTTCAGCTGCTTTAATTCTAGAAAAGAAAACAAAGCGCAAACACGCACTAAGGTATCCTGTAGATGTCCATCATCGTGTCTATAGTTAGCCATAGAAATATTTGGTGTGCTTTTAAAGAAAGGATTTATTTTCAGTTTCTTTTTCCCACCAATTTGCTTGTTTTGCAGTAAATATTCTTAGCATRATAGCATTGTTGATATAAAACAAAACTAATCTCTGAGTTCAGAGAAAACTTTTACTGAGCACATGCCGGCACCTCAGAGACCTCGCTGGGTGGTGAGGAGGAGGAGGAAGAGGAGGAAGAGCAGCAGCGGCAGCGTTGCACATTGGACCCTACAAGAAGGAGCTGGGAGGAGCTCTTGCACTGCATGGATGCAGGTGGGCGATTTGGGAATGTGGCACTTGGCGGCTTGCCTTGGGCCCAGCACGTCGGCTTTGCTGCAGGGAGGAGGAGGAGGGTGGCCTTCCTGCCACCATGCAGCCCTGTTCCTGCGAGCTTGAGCGCAGAGCCCCACTCTGCAGGGCTGCTTGCCAGGCATGTTCCTGGCGCTTCAGAGGCCAAAAGCCCAGATCTGGGGGAAAAGAGCAGGGAGCCGAGTGCCCTGGGAACCCCCCAGGGCTGCTGCCTGTCCCCCAGCGGGGGGACACGGAGGAGCCTGTTCCTCTTCATCGGTGCTTTGCCTCATAGCTGGGGTGAAAACCAAGCTAAAATGCAGGATTGGTCGAACGAGTGCCATGACAGCGTCCACAGGGGGGGATTTACAAGAAGCACGAGCGAATTTGTGCTTCCTGGGTAATTTTTTCCCTGCAATTTAGAGTTTTGAGTTTTGCCAAGATGGGACGTGTTGTTCGCTTTTCCACGCGCGGTTGCGCATGCCAAGGGAAAAGCAAACAGGGCAGCCGGGCTGCCCCCTCCCCGCGCTGCAGGGCCAAGCTGGGCAGCAGTGCCGCGGATCCATCCGCGGATCCGGTTGCTCCATCCAAACTGCCGCGGCCCCATGCGGCCTTGACAGACAGCGAGCAATTATCCTGTAATGCGCGCCTTCCTTTGCTCTAATTACAGAGCCATTCTGCTTTTTGTTTTTTCTTTCTTAAGTTGCACAGGGGCAGGGGGGCAGAGTCCTTGCCAATTCCTCCCGTTTCCACACGGGAATGAGGCGTGCGAGGCGGCGCGGTGCACAATTTCTCTCAGTGCATCGCCGTGCCGAAGCGCTTGGCTGTGATCACGCACCATGGTCAGCAGTGACATCGCGGCCCTGGCGCTGGTCCCTTCCCGTCCCAAGGCCACCGAGTCCCATGGGGCCTGGTGAACCCYGGCCTCCACACGACCTACAAGGGCTATTGAGATGCTGAAGGGCCGGGAGCCCCTTTCCTGTGAGGAGAGGCTGAGGGAGCTGGGCCTCTGCAGCCTCACGAGGAGGAGGTTGAGGGGGATCTGAAGGGAGAGGATGGAGAGGGCAGGACTGGACTCTTTCTGCTAGGACAGGTCCTCGTGCCCTTCCTGGCAGCCTCTCCCAGCTGTGTAGTTTCCAAGCAGCTTTCCATGAGAAGTGCTCCCCTTTGCTGAATTTTCACAACTGCTCCAGGTCTGGATGTGCCTGGTGCTGCTATGGCAACGAGGCGGGAGCTCAGCGCTTGCTGCTGCTCGCTTTTCCTCTCTTTTTTAACCCAGGAGCAACGGGATGGCGCTGGCTCTCCCTCCACACCACTCGCTCCTGCTAAAGAGCCCGTGGGCTCCCAAGCACCCGGCACTGCTCAGCTTCTCTTGCACCCTGCGGTGTCGGCCCTGCCGGCCTTCCTGGGCACTTCCATCACTATTATCCCCATTTCCCAACTGCCTTTATGAAGTATGGCTTAAGTAACTCTTTTTCTAGCACAGTCCCTGCATTATCCTTTGTTTAATCCTATAGGAGCCAGAGCTCTCAGGTCCTGGGGAACTCGCCCCTGTGGTTTAAATGCAGCTTCATCACTTGGGATCKTCGGACTGCAGCAGCAGGAAAATTGCAGAAGGAGCAAAATGCCTGATTCTCATCCTGCAAGGGGCCTTGTCCTCGCCCCGTGCCCACACGGAAGATGCTTTTCTGTTTTAATGTTGCTCGCTGAAATCCTTGTATGGTGGTTGCTCCTCACATGGAGATGTGATAAGGTAAAACCCTGCCACGCGGGCAAGGCAAATGAGGAGAAAGGACATGTTTTCCTTGCCAAATATTTACTGCTGATGCTGGTAATTGCTATTTTTAAGCTATCTTTGCCTTTCTCGAAAACACACCAAGATGAACCGGGAGCATCCCCAGCGGCAAGAAATCCGTCAGACCTTTCTGGGATGGAGGTATTAAGTTAATAAAAAATGTCTATAAAATAGGCTTTATTAAGCGCTAAAACGTGCAGGCTCTTTTATGGCTGCTTTATAACTAATCTGCCAAACCCTCTTTGTTAGGTCTATAACTAAGAGGCTGAGTCCACGTCCAGATTTATGGTGGTTCCAAGGCCGTGAATCACCTGCTCTATTAGAGGGGCCGTGGAAATGGTCTGGGGATGGCTCCAGGTTTGCACGGATCCGTGGGCTCCTGGTCCACAGGGAGCAAGAGGCAAGTAGAAGCGATGAGGAGGATCTTGAGATCCCCACAGAGGAACGATGATCTCCATCGCGGTCTGTGCACGCGTGCCTGTCTGTGTGTGTGTGTATGCAATATATAGCTATGCATACAAGCGTGCGTTTGGATGCCTGTGCACCTGTGGATAGGGATGGTTTGCAGGGATGCATGCTGGCCCGGTGCCGGAGCTGTGGTGCGGTGCTGCAAGTGCTCTGCAAATCTGAATGGCACGTGAGTGCCGCAGAGCAAGCGCAGCGGCCCGTCCATACGAGCGCATGTTTATCGCTCTCGTATAAACAATAATCGCATTAGCGAGGACAGCGTGATTAACATAAACAGCCTCATGGCTGGGGCYTGAGTTTACATGAGGCACGTTAGTGTCCTCATTACCCCAGCAGGAAAGTGGGGCCGATGTGAAGTGGTGCGGAGTGTCGGGAGCGGGGCTGCCGTCGCCTCGCTCCCCGTGCCGGGACACCAGAAAACCAGTGCCAAGCGCACCCTGCACCACATCCTTGAGTTCTGCAGGCATCAGCTCCCGGCCCTCCCTTTGATTTTCCCGCATTGAGCCTCAATGTCACCTTCCTAGGTCCTCCAAGGCCTGGAGTTCAGGCTGTCACTTCCATGTGGCCCTGGGGTGACCTTAACCCCTTGCTAGAGGAATATAACTTTTATTTAAGTCATGTGCTGCATCTTCAGCTACCTTGGCTCCAGCGGTGAAAATGCACTTTTGTATAAAACTAATATCTGCCATAATTTTATGTTAATTTTCCCCTACAAACTCCTGAAAACACTCTTCCCGAATCCATTCCTAGATGGCAGTGGTGTGGGATCACTACAAACTGTG